TTTCTGCTGGTGGTAAGCCTGGTGCATGTTGGAATCTTGCTTTTGCTGACTATTACCAATAATGTGGTCTATATTTCCTGGAAGAATATTGGAATCCATACATAGCACAGTTTTAAAACTATAGGAATCAGAATATGGTCAACAGTACATGGCTATTTCCAAACGTTTTTCTTTTCTGAAGAATTACAGACATCTTTAGCAACTATAATGGATATTTTACAGGATCGAAAGCGTTACTCAGGCAGCAAGTTGAACATAAATTGCAAAGTAGACATTATTATGTTTGAACTTTACTTAACGTCATCTAAACTGATTAGACGACCCAAGGTAGCTTGGAGTCTGTCCCGGTAGTGCTCTCGCAGACGTCAAATGATGTGTCGTCCGTGAAACTCCATTTCTTTGACAAAGCGCGTGGTGTTCGTCCTTTCTCTTGTACGTTTAGGCCTCAAGCCTGGTAGAGTTTCCACAGCATTACTGTGGGAAAATTCGAAAAATGCTGGACACTGCAGTCACTGGCATCATGGGGCTAGTTCAGCGGGAAAATTTTCATATCCAGCATATTGGTTGAATCACTGGGGGACCTTGAAAATGGGCCTGTTAAATAGTAAGAAATAGTATATAAACAGAGCCAATGAGATGGACCCAAAATGTTTGGGAATTTAGTAATAAAAATAAGGTTTTAGAAGGTGAAGTAATGAAGAAAATGGCGCAATGAACATGAGTTGTCTGTGTCTAAGTACCATAACATGAAGGCATATTGTTGACCACAGTGCAAGGTGGATGTGAGTGGTCAGCCTTTTTACCCCCAGGTAAAAAACTGTTATGAAACCCAGAATGTTACGTCTTATAGTTATGTTCGTACCAGTAGAGTTTCCACAGTATTACTGTGAGAGAATTCGACAAATGCTTGTATTCATTATCAATAATTTTTGCCTAAAATTTATCACAGGCCTTCATTCGATGCGTAACATTATACATAATTGAAAACATTATTCATAAAACCAACATCTTCACTGAGACTCGAACCCTGGATAGTTTTTCTCGGTTCTATTCTTTGTGTTCGTAATCTCCTCTTCTGAGCTACAGGAAACGTCCTCAACGGGACTCAAACTCAGGACACTTTCTCCAGAATTTTGATCGTCCTGTGTCCTCGTCCTGGTCTCAAGAAACAAGCATTCAAGTTTGGCAAAAATAGGTTTTTCTCTTCTTAAGCAAAAAGCGAACATGTGACTCATAAAATGTTTTGGCTAGGTTAGCCTGTTTGAAAACCGATATGGAAATGAGCGAATAACGTTAAAACGGATCTTGGAAAAGCATTTTGTGAGTATGGGTGGTGGCTGGAACTGGCGAAAGATCGTGTCCAATAGCAGGCTTTGACATTAACGATGCCGATCCTTCGCATTTTGCTACCAGAGTTGAAAGCAATAAGAAAGTGTCCCAAGAATGCACACACTCTGTTCCGCCACGTTATTTTGTTACACTTGATACTGGCATCTAATGGAATGCACTAATACAAAGTGACGCATGTGTGTCATAATTGTAATATATCAGTGCAAAATGCCGTTACAATTCTTTGTGTCATTTCTAGCAATGTCATTGGCAACTCCCATAATTACTACATAGTCCTGATGAGAGCCTAATGATGAACAATCTCTTAAACAATTCTTAAATACACCTTTTATCTTAGCACTATGCCTCACTTCACCATACACTGAGACATCAATATTGTTTTTACAGAGCGACGTAGATATATCACGACCGTAGCTATCACTGTTGAACATCAGTTTATTTTTATTTTTCAAAGCATTTACCTTTGGGCAAATTGATGCTTTCCTTGATTGCGTGTCGTCAACAACTTCATTTAGTGCACTAAACTTGTTTCTCGTTGGAACTAGAAACGGTTGAGTAGCCTGTTTTCTTCTTTTCTCATTTCCTTTAGCTGCATAACGCAAGCCAATTTCATTCACTTGCTTTACTTGAAAACGCGTATCTTGTATTATTTCATTCTGTAGAACAGATATTATTTCACGCAAAGACGATATTTCCTCGAACAACTAACTTACGAGGAACGTCGCTATTAAAGAGCTGTGTGGTTAAGTTCTCATTTATCAAGTCGTCGTGTGATGGGCAAAAACACAGAACCATTCATTATTAGGTATCTTTTCCTCACATACATTTATTAAAATGATACCATTTATCGCAATTGTCACATAATATTCCATTTCTAACTACTTTTTTACACTTGCCACACTTATTACCTATTAAAATGTTCCAGCATAATGCATCCATACGCCCACTTTCCGCCATGTGGTCTCTGTCCTATGTGATAACGTTTGTGCACAACCAGAGTTGGTCGTTGATTATACCCAGGTTCTGATAACCAAAATCCAAGTATATCTTCTTCACTAATTTATTCTACTTTTGAAGAAAAGTCAAAGTAGTTTCTTGAAT